GACGTATGAATGGAAGAGAAACAATTCTTAATGGTTTGTAACTAAGTTACGCATTCACAATTTGATTATAGTTTTATTGATTAGTCGTCAAGGAAACGAATTCGAAGAAAACGTAGCAATTAAGAAGTCAAAGTTTAGTAATTTTTCCATGAAGATGTCTCGTTTAGTAAATCTACGATAGATTTCTAAACAATTGTAAATGTTTTGTAACTAAGTTACGCATTCACAATTTGTAAAAATAACAGATTATATAGTTTTATTGATTAGTTATCAAGGAAACGAATTCGAAGAAAACGTAGCAATTAAGAAGTCAAAGTTAAGTAATTTGTACATGAAGATGTCTCGTTTAGCAAATCGACGATAAATTTCCAAACAATTGTAAATGGTTTGTAACTAAGTTACGCATTCACAATTTGTGACAATAACTGATTATATAGTTTTATAGATTAGTTGTCAAGGAAACGAATTCGAAGAAAACGCAACAGATTCGATGAATTTATCACATTAACAAATCGTTGCTTCAATGATTTTTGATAAATTAATAAGTCAAAGTTAAGTAATTTTTCCATGAAGATGTCTTGTTTAGTAAGTCTAAGATATATTTCCAAACAATTGTAAATGGTTATAACTAAGTTACGCATTCACAATTTGTTTATATACTTTTGTTGATTAGTCGTCAAGGAAACAAATTTGAAGAAAACGTAATAGATTCGATGAATTTATTACATTAACAAATAGTTATTTAAGTGATTTTTGATAAATTAACGTTAAGAAGTCAAAGTCAAAGAATTTGTTAATAAAGATGTCTCATTTAGCAAATCGACGATACATTTCTAAACAATTGTAAATGGTTTGTAACTAAGTTACGCATTCACAATTTGTGACAATAACTGATTATATAATTTTAGTCGTCAAGGAAACGAATTACAAAAAAACGTAACAAATTCGATGAATTTATCACATTAACAAATCGTTGCTGCAATGATTTTGGATAAAATAACGTTAAGAAGTCAAAGTCAAGGAATTTGTTAATGAAGATGTCTCCTTTATCAAATCGACAATACATTTCCAAACAATTGTAAATGGTTTATAACTAAGTTACGCATTCACAATCTGTGACAATAACTGATTATATAGTTTTATTGATTAGTTGTCAAGGAAACGAATTTGAAGAAAACGTAACAGATTCGATGAATTTATTACATTAACAAATCGTTTTTTCAATGATTTTTGATAAATTAACGTTAAGAAGTCAAAGTTAAGTAATTTTTCCATGAAGATGTCTTGTTTAGTAAATCTAAGATACATTTCTAAACAATTGTAAATGGTTTGTAACTAAGTTACGCATTGACAATTTGTGACAACAACTGATTATATAATTTTATTGATTAGTTTCAAGGAAACAAACTCGAAGAAAACGCAACAGATTCGATGAATTTATCACATTAACAAATCGTTGTTTCAATAATTTTTGATAAATTAACGTTAAGAAGTCAAAGTCAAGAAATTTGTTAATCAAGATGTCTCGTTTAACAAATCGACGATACATTTCCAAACAATTGTAAATGGTTTGTAACTAAGTTACGCATTTACAATTTATGACAACAACTGTTTATATACTTTTATTCATTAGTCGTGAAGGAAACGAATTACAAGAAAACGCAACAAATTCGATGAATTTATTACATTAACAAATTGTTGCTTCAATGATTTTGGATATATTAACGTTAAGAAGTCAAAGTTAAGTAATTTTTCCATGAAGATGTCTTGTTTAGTAAATCTAAGATACATTTCCAAACAATTGTAAATGGTTTGTAACTAAGTTACGCGTTCACAATTTGATTATAGTTTTATTGATTAGTCGTCAAGGAAACGAATTTGAAGAAAACGCAACAAATTCAATGAACTTATTACATTAACAAATTATTACTTCAATGATTTTGGATATAATAACGTTAAGAAGTGAAAGTCCAGAAATTTGTTCATGAAGATGTCTTGTTTGCAAATCGACGATAGATTTCCAAACAATTGTAAATGGTTTGTTACTAAGTTACGCAATCACAATTTGTGACAACAGCTGATTATATATAATTTTATTCATTAGTCGTCAAGGAAACGAATTTGAAGAAAACGCAACAAATTGGATGAATTTATACATTAACAAATTCAATGATTTTGGATATAATAACGTTAAGAAGTCAAAGTCAAGGAATTTGTTCATGAAGATGACTCGTTTAGCAAATCGACAATAAATTTCCATTACAAATATATACAAATACTTGTACTTTTTTCTTTGGACAATGAAAACGAAACGAAAAGTGAATTATATGGTGAATCAATAATCACTTTCGTACGTGATACGCTTAAAAAGCACAAATATGAGGAGAAAATAAGGAGGAAAACAAACCGGAAACGTGTCGAGCCACAAATTACATATTAAAGATTGGAAACCGGAAGGAAATGCGGGTTCAACAGAGTTCAAGAAGGAAAAACCAAACAGAGTAATAAAAATAATGGTAATGACGATGGATCAACGCGAAAATTAGCCCTAATTACGTTCACCGTCTGTGTATCGACCTCTCCCCAATGCAAATATGTCCACGTAGTAGACTTCACCTTTGCGAAACTACACTCGCTTTTATCTTAATCCCATTCAACGAATTTCAATTTCAAAAGTACAGCAGAACCTCGCATAGTGCGGGTAATCCGACTGTTTGAAACCGGACTAATCGATGAACTAAATACCAATATACATCTATCAATCAAAAAAACTGATCTAATTAATAATTTTGTGTACTAATGATGATATTTTTCTCAATTAAATTTTTTGAAATTTTTAAACCGTACTATAGTGAATCCGGACTGATCGAAGCACAACTATGCGAAGTATTAGTGAATGCAAAAAAAAAATACATTTACAAATTGATAAATTACGCAAGTCTTTTCGTTCTAAAAATAGAAGTTTTTTTTTTATACTTAAATTTTTCGGCGATTCGCTCGCGTTTCAAGGTCGAATGAAGTCGTTATGCACACGACTAATTGGAGCTAATTTTAAATGCTTTTCGAAATACGTCCGAAACAACAGGAACAAACGGACAAGAGATGCTATAATTAATTAAAATACTTGGCATAATTTAAAACCTGATTTTTAATTTTTTTTTTTCGTATAAATATCAAAAAAAAAATTCATAACTTCAAAGACTGTTAAATTAAAAATTGTATTTGTGCGTCAATTAAAATTCGCTTTGTCAATTATCAAAGATAATTAAATATAGCTTATGTGCATTATCTTATGTGTTTTATTTTTTCATATTTTATGTATTTGGATGATTCGAAGAAAATAAAAATTGTGATTCAGAAACGCATGATTTCGTGCACGTCTGTTGATGTTGGCTTAAAATTGTGTTCGTAACTTCTTGCTAATCTGAGTAATCTTCGTGTTAAGTGCACCGATGGAAGCGCCAAGAAAAGCCGAAATTCTGTTGATTTGAGTCACGGGTGGAATTTCAGAATTTTTGTGGATAATACTCTCATTTAACTATCGCATTGATACATTTATTTACGTAGAAGTGATTTATAGTTATATTAACAGTAATTAGTATGAAAATATATCAATTTATTTCTTTTTTCAATTATCAAATTGTGACAATCAAAAATCAATATTAAGAGACATTTCTAAGTGATTTATATGCATTTCTATGAAATTTTAAGGATTTCTAAGGAATTTCTATGCAATTTGTTTGATATTTTTATGGGATTTCTTGTAGATTTCTATAAACTGAGATTTCAATGAGATTTGCAGTAAACTTCTATAAAATTTCAAATAAATTTCTATAAGATTTCTAAGGGAGATTTGAGATTTCTATGGGATTTCTTTGAGATTTTTACTAAACTTTTATAAGATTTCTTAAATTTGTCTGTGACTAACAAAAAAAAAGTGAAGTTTCGATACTGTTTTCATACATTTATAAGATTTTAAGAAATTCAACAAAAAAAAGGAAATTTCTCAAAGTTTGTGTTAAAAATACAAAATGTAATAGAAAACTTCACAAATTAATTAATTAGTTAAAACTTTTAACAAAAAGTTAATAACTTTGAAGAAACAATCTTCTTTGTTCTTTTCATAACAAGAAACTGAAATAAGATTATTGATGATTTATTCTTAAATTATGAATAGAAAAATATTGTTAAGGAAGCTGTAGTGGTTAAACCGGAACAGATTAACGCGTTAAGTGTTAATCAAAGGTCTTATAGTGAAAGTTCCAGATGGAAAAATTGATTGGAAATTACAAGGATCCAGATTTCTTAAAATCTTTGTTAACTTATTTTTATTCATGTCTAATTTGAATACAAAAAGTTTTAGTCAAATTTGATTCTCAATAATATAAATTAAAGAAATGCATAATACTTTTTTAAGCTCGCTAAATTAGGAAATGTTACTGATTAGAGCTGATCAAACTGACGAATTTAAATCGACAATTAATTATAGGGAACCAACGTCAGGTGTAATTTCCAAATTTGTAATTTAATTGATTAATTTGCAGACGATTGTTTAATAACTTTTGTCACTTCTTATCTTTGCTTTTATCTATATTGTGGTCGTATTATGTAAGGCTTTCGTTGATCGATTATGATGGATCGCGTTTGGGACCACCCTGTACATGGCCAACTGTGTGTATGTGTAATAAACCTTGAATTGGGAATCTGAACAAAAAAAAAATCTACGCGAAAAGAACCTTGACTCGCATCACTCGATGTGTATGTGTACTTTATCTTTTTATACACTGTATTCTCTTTCTTTCTCGGTCAGTTCTTTCTTTCTTCTGATCTCCTCCTCCTGCCTGATCATTCGGCCTCGCTCTCTCCCATGATCCGAACATCTCATCTCTTGTTCACCAGCAAATCGAACGTCGTGTGTACGTTATAAGCGTGTACGATGATGATGATGAGTGTATGTGTGTACGTACATATATGAATGTATGTATATATTTAGATCTTACCGGTTTCCTCCGATAGATCGAAGAACGGAGTGAATGGGTTTCCTTCGGATACTAGACCGTATCTAATGTCTCGCGGTTTGCCCCTATCGCCGTCCTCGGCCTTAACCGAAAGGACGACATCGCCGGGTTGGAGGTCAGGATCAAGGGCCGTCGTCGGTGGGGCCTTCGTGAAGACGGGCGGCGTGTCCTGCTCGTCGAGGACCGCCACCAGCAGCGGCCAAGCGGCTATGTTGCGTGAGTCAGTTTCCGCTTCCGTCCAAGGGTCCTGCGAATGCAACGAAACAAATGCACACGAATACGCACACGTCAGAACGCAATGAATATCTCGTTAAAACCGGATCGTTTCACACGAAACGCCAAAAACACGATTAATAACATCATTTCCATTGAATACCCCCCAACTTTAGCTAGTATAAGAAAACCTATCATCTTATCAAAACATTATGAAAACAAAATTACTGAAATAAGCTCTAATTAATATCAGTTGCTCAATGTAGATTTTCATATGATAACAACTGTAGTTGCTAAGCAATATTATGTTTAATGACAGCTGTCATTGTGTCATTGTGTTTAATGACAGCTGTCATTGTGTCATTGTGTTTAATGACAGCTGTCATTGTACCAACAAAATTTTACTTGATAATATTAAATTTCGTTCATCGATTTCATAATTATTCTTATTGATAACTTCAATTACGTTTTCCAAACAAAACAAGTCGTACCGATAGATATAGTTGAAAAACTATTTCAAAACCTATATCATAGAATTGTGTAAAATCATCTTATCAAAAAAAAAATATTTACTGAAATCTATGAGTTGCTAAGCAATAATGGGTTTAATAGGTTGCAAAATGACAGGCTGTCACTTTTCTTCAAAGTATCATAAATGTTATGTCATACAGTAAACATGACAGCTGTCATTGTGTCATTGTGTTTAATGACAGCTGTCATTGTGTCATTGTGTTTAATGACAGCTGTCATCGATTTCATAATTATTCTTATTGATAACTTCAATTATGTTTTCCAAACAAATCAAGTCGTACCGATAGATATAGTTGAAAAACTATTTCAAAACCTATATCATAGAATTATGTACAATCATCTTATCAAAAAAAAAATTTACTGAAAGACATTCCATTATCTTATTTACTATTGATTTTAAGTAATTTCTCCATCTATGGGTTGCTAAGCAACAATGGGTTTAATAGGTCGCAAAATGACAGCTGTCACTTTTCTTCAAAGTATCATAAATGTTATGTCATACAATAAACATGACAGCTGTCATTGTGTCATTGTGTTTAATGACAGCTGTCATCGATTTCATAATTATTCTTATAGATAACTTCAATTATGTTTTCCAAACAAATCAAGTCGCACCGATAGATATAGTTAATATACGAAAAACTATTTCAAAACCTATATCATAGAATTGTGTAAAATCATCTTATCAAAAAATAAAAGTTATTTACTGAAAGACATTCCATTATCTTATTTACTATTGATTTTAAGTAATTTCTCTACCTATGGGTTGCTACGCAACAATGGGTTTAATAGGTCGCAAAATGACAGCTGTCACTTTTCTTCAAAGTATCATAAATGTTATGTCATACAGTAAACATGACAGCTGTCATTGTGTTTAATGACAGCTGTCATCGATTTCATAGTTATTCTTATTGATAACTTCAATTATGTTTTCCAAATAAATCAAGTCGTACCGATAGATATAGTTAATATACGAAAAACTATTTCAAAACCTATGTCATAGAATTGTATAAAATCATCTTATCAAAAAAAAAGTTATTTACTGAAAGACATTCCATTATCTTATTTACTATTGATTTTAAGTAATTTCTCCATCTATGAGTTGCTAAGCAATAATGGGTTTAATAGGTCGCAAAATGACAGCTGTCACTTTTTCTCAAAGTATCATAAATGTTATGTCATGCAGTAAACAAGTTGAGAAACGCTGATCCGAACGTTATTTGATTCTTATACAAAAATTTACAAGAAATATAGTAAATTTCGTTTATCGCTTTCATAATGTTTGGAATTGAAAACATAAATGAAGTTATCAATGGGAACAATTGATAACTTCAATTACGTTTTGCAAACAAAACAAATCATATTAATAGATATACGATTAAGACTTTCCATTATCTTATTTACTATTGATTTTAAGTAATTTCTCCACCTATGGGTTGCTAAGCAATAACTGATTTAATGACAGCTGTCAGTATCATAAATTTTATATAATGCGGTAAAAAAAGGTTGAGAAACGTTATGATTCTTATACGAAACTTTACAAGAAATTTATTAAATTTCGTTAATCACTTTCATAATTATTCCCATTGATAACTTCAATTATTTTTTCAAACAATAGATATAAAATTAAGACATTCCATTGTCTTATTTACAACTGATTTTATGTAAATATTGAATTAGTTTAAGTCAAAGAGCAAGTCAAAATATTGACTAAATCTCTAAGATTTTTCTGTAAATCAGTGTTCAAAATTAACTTAATTGGTTTAAGATGTTAAGAAAAAAAGTAAATTAAAGACTTACATTAGCTAGAATGGTCAGATGATGTACGGTTTTGGTCTCGTAATCGAGCTTCCCCAGCAGCAAAACCGTTCCTTCAGCATCCTTCTCCGAAATCAACCTCTGTCGAAGACTGAACAACGGCGATCCCCAAAGCTCCAGAAGCACAGCTTTTTCTCTGTTCGGATTCCCTCTGGCCACGAGACTTCCCAATTCCGTGTGTCTCCTCGCGCTCTCCGACACCATCAGCAGCGTCGGAGCCCCAGGAAATATCTCACCGATTGGAGTGGTTGCATTTGTTGCCCTAAAAGAGCAATCCATCGAGGCCCTTCCGCCTCGGACGTTCTTCACCGTGACCTTAAAATCGTAGAACCTTCCCGCCTCCAGACGTCTCTGCAGCACGACGTTGGCCTGGCACACCGAGTTGAAGCGACTGCAGTTGAGCGTATCCACGGACACGGTCGTCGCGTCATCCTGGATGTCGAAGGTCATGGGGTAATCGTAGGCCGGATCTGAGGCTCGTAATCTGTAGATGATGGTGCCGACGGCCGCGTCCGCCGGCACCAGGACATTGCGAAGTAGCGCGGTGGGGTCGAAGAACGGGGCTCCATCCACCCCCTGCGACCACCAGAAGCTCACCAAGAACAACCACTGCCACATCTTAAGACCCATTCTTTCCGAGGAAACATCACGACCTACTATCAAAGATATCTGCAACATCAAAAAGCAATTGTATCCAACGAATTGGTAATGTTTCAGTACATCATGTGAATTATAACAAATTGGATAAAATCAATGAAATGTGAAAACACTGCTTTTTTAACTTTTTAAAAAATTTAAACGTCAATTACAGCCAAACCGATGAAACCACAACAATATATGAATACTTGCTAGATTCCCCAAACATTCAGCTTTCATATACATCCTTTGGATCTATTCTATCTTTTATAGTTTCCGAGAAAATCAATGAAATATGAAAACACTGCTTTTTATAACGTTTTTTCAAATTTAAAC